CCGTGGAAGTGCTGGAAGCCGGGCGAAGAATCCAGGTGTGTGGGGGGGGGGGGGGGGGGGCAACTCCTAGTCCTAGTCGACAGCAGAAAGCCTCCAGAGACAACACCGGATGCAAGTGCTTCAGCTGCCAATCTTGGCTGCAGGTAGATAAATGATGATAAATAAAAATACATAGCCACATTCGCCATGGGCGCAGGAATCAACAGCATCAGCATCACTGCATATTCATCATTGAACGTGTTCATGAACCCGCAAAAAATGGTTTTGGTGTCGTGCTCGTGCATCCAGTCAGGATTCCGACTGATCTCACTTGCTGACTTACTACGGACGCTCGCCAGGTGTCTGGGTTTCCAGGATGCTCAATGTGTTGTTTCCCCTCCCTCGCTTCAGAAAAAGACATCAAACCATGTGAACCAGAGACCAAAACCCAGACCTCAGAGATCACACTATGTCAATCGCCAGAAAAGCTCGGATTCCCCACACGCTTGAAGCTGGCGCATTCCAGGATGGGTGCCTGATAGACCGGAGACCGGAGACTGGTTGCACAAAGGGGAAGAAGTGAAGTGAGTGGAAATTACCACCTCTCCAATCCTTCAAACGATTCATTCAAACTGGTGACTGGATAATATGTTTCCATATTGCCATGTGTCTGTACGACAATGTCTATTCCAAGGCTGCAGATTCACCAGCCAGGCCGCAGATTCATTGACTTTGTTGACTTTGTTTTCACATCTACTCTCAACGTATATTGGAGCCTCAGAACGACCCAAGTCCACGGCAAGTCTGGTTTGTTATCTAGAGCACTAGAGACCAAAATGGGGTGCCATGTTTTTGTCATGCGCAGGAGTGCAGTGTATCCTTCTGAACTTTTGGTCTTACTAGTGGAGTCTCTGAAGCAAGAAATGATTGAAACAAATAAGGTGAGGAGCATGTAAAGCACTCTGCAGGATGGCTATCAGAACTGATCAATTATCTCAAACTGTAGTTGGTTGAGAAAAGACCAACGCAACTGCAATCATCTTGGCTAATCTTTGTTGAGCTGTAGTGATTTTCAATTTTCAATGAATCAAAACTGGCACGCATCCTTATCAGGCAGTCATATAGCGGCGAGACCCTGTACCATGAAATCTCTATTTGAGGCTGCTTCCACAGCCACGCTGTGCAACCCTCGATTCCCGGAAGACACTGGGGCCCTCACAATGTAACCTCAGTGCAGCTGGTCTGGCAACAAAATGAGAACTCGTATCATTATCGCTCAAAAGTCCACACCACTGGGAAGGTCCAAGCGGAGTGGGTGAAAGGAGGCTTAATCAACTTGAGGTGCCGATTACAAAGACAACATCTTCTTCTTGCAGCTTGTAATTGCAAATACGCAGGAAAGAGTACTTGTTTTTGACGCCGAGACTTGGACCCCCAAAGAGACATATATCATTAGTGCTCAAAGACCTGCCTGGCGGTCTAGATATCGTTATATACTATTTAATGTATTCACTATGCAATTATGCAATATCGATATGTATCATATAATACTATATGATGTCACTAAATTCTATATGTTACATTAGTCATTAGTTTACAATGTTTCCAGATCACAGAGGCGCTGATGGTCTTATTGAGCAACGTGCATCTGATTGAAACCATAGAAACTCCTTCAGTGTCTCCCGTTTCGCTTTGGCACGCAATCGACGGCTGCGGCCAAGGCGCCGATGTCAAGACCAAAGAGAAATGCACCCAGTGAAGCAACCAGTGATGCAGTAGCTGCCTGAAAGGGGATCAGGAACACAGCTGTGAATCTGACTCTTGGGAGCACATGTGCTCCAATCTGACACCATCTTCCATGGTAAGAGCTCATCTTATAGGCGTCCTGGCCTGGCTGTATAATTTATGACCGAGAAAACGGATGAGCATGAATCGCTGTGCTTTAAAGCTCAAAGTTCCCTGCTCGTCTTTTTTGAGATGAACAATAGTTTGTGGATTCTTGTTCTAGCCAAGCAGATCAAAAATGATCAAAACGGTGTGTTGAAATATGACTTAGCAATCTTGACAGGGACATTCCGTGCGTCTGCATGATACTGGCATACAACAAGGCTTACCCTACAAAGATGTGGCTGTAGTATTACAAATGAGAAACCACAGTCAAACCCCTCTGAAAAAGGAGCGAAAAAAGAGGAGGGTTCTCCACCAAAGAATATAAGTTATAAGCACACCATAACTACACACCCACCTGGGACTGTTTTGGGGTTCTTGACGTGTGCAGTAGCAAGAAGCTACGTTCGGGGCTCCTGGCATCGCTACTAGGAGCGATCGGACGCTACGAACGGGGCTCCTGGCCTTACTACGAACGGAACAAGAAGCCATTTCAGTCGCCTCGAATTCGTCCGCTCAACATCGGACCGGTTTTTGGATCGGCTGCCCGGCTGGGGAGGGTGACAGTCGGCATCAGCTTCCACCGAAGCAACTTTACAACACATGGCCTACCGCATGGTTGCACTTGTGGCCGCACATGTTTATGCGTGCGTAGTCTCCGTAGACCTCTTTTTTAGCCTGCTTCTCCTGGCCTGGCCACTTGCCATGGCACGTTGAGTTTCGCACCGCAGCAGTGAAAATCCTACAGTAAGTCCTGCAGGGGTTATTCCGTTTCGGTCAGCTACTCTGTCCTGTTCTGTCATGCCACAAGCAACAAGGCTTGCTGGGTTCATGCAAGGAAGGAAAACTCCTCTCAGTCACGGAAGGGTGGATTCTCGCGAGTCCAGTACCAAATGCTGCTCAAGCAGAAAGGGATTTCCGCTTGAGCACTGAGCCGAAACCGAGAACACGCCAAGTTCCACTGTCTGTTCATTTCGATGAATATCTCTTTAAGTCCGGTGGATCAATGTGCATTGCTAGTGCCCCTTCATAGACGTCCACACATCCGACTCATCATAAAGGCTGTCTCCAAACAGACTCTGTTCCGAACGACTCGAGCTCGACGCCTCCCCCCGGTGCACCTGGGCGAAGCGAGGCTCACGGCCTCGCTTAAGCCGCAGACGCGCCCGCGCGGGTTGGAGCCTGGGTTACAGTGAGTTGGACACATGAAGGATGGGGTATTTGGATGGTTTTTTTGGGGGGGCATAAAAGGAGCTGAATTGTTCGGTCACTTTTTCATGAATTCTCCTTTGGTGGATCCAGGTGGGTTTCTGGAGTCTCCCTATTGACTCCTACTGCTTCGTGATGGTTCGTAAAGGGTGGATGTTGGCTAGAAACTATACGTCTAAGGGCTTGTGTACCACCTACCTTCCACACGGAGTAGCGAGAGTCTTCTGCCCAAAGTTGGCCGTTCCAGACCCTCCATGGATGGATCCTGGACACCCCTCACCCGCGTCCCTCAAACACCGAGGCCTCGTAGCTGACGCCCGAGTCCTCAAGATGGAACCGACGTCGGCGTCTTGGACGGTTTGGAACCGGTGCGTCAGCGCTGTGAAAACTGCGGCGCGTTTGGCCTATTAAAAATACAACCCCAAACATACCAAACTGCGCAGTTTAGGAGAGGCACAAGAGGCTACAATTCGACCACAGGGGAGCGATAGGATCCAACCATCCACATCCACAGTCTTCAACAAAACCAACGGGGCATCGATGTCATGCCAGGTCATCTTTTGGCACCCCATGACCCCGTGCGAGACAAACAAACCACAGAAAATTACAAGTTATCATAAATAGGACATATAACATAGAGGAACAAACAAAGGGTTTGGAGGGAAGATGTGTCAAACGATGCTGTGATTCTCCCTTTAATGAAATCTCTGGATCTGGCACAGTGTTTTTCAGCCCATGACCGTCTTCCCACCAACCAAACCTGTCATATTTTCTCACAAGAATCGAAAGGGATCTCACTCACCAAGTCCAGCACAGCAATCAGTAGAATCCACGCCGTCCACCGGGCTTGTCGTCACTATAGCAATTCTTTAGTAGAATCCACGCCGACTCTGTCGCCGATTTTGATGGCCCGCCCTCCAGGACATCAGGACAGCGCTGTTTCTGCTTGATTCACACATCTTCAGCCCCAGCCATAGGGCGTATTCCCCAGACATATTCCCGGTCGATCTTCGGCTTCGGGCGTCGATCGGCTTCGTCTGGCGCCTGAAGGAGTCCTCGGGCCTGGTGAGACGCCCCGGTGGCCGGTCCCCGGTCCCTGCGAAAAAGCCCGTCAGATGTTCATGTCAGCGAACGAAAGAGACGTGCCGTAACCACCTGAGGTAGAAGTAGAGGAAAGAATCCTGTTATGCTGGATATAGAATTATATAGTAACTACGCGTCCGTGGCCACGAGAAGGACAAAGCGTGCTTGAGGATAGCCAACCCTGTAAACATGAGATCGTTAGATTTAGTCGACATGCCCCCTGATTTGGTCATTCCTTGGTCTCTTTACTTTGAACGGTATACGACTCACAAAATCAGACGGTCCCGCAACACGGCCTCGCAAACAGTTTTGAGAAAAGAAAAATGATAAAAAAGGTGTCTCTGAAGTTTGTTTGGCACAGACGCCACACCTTGCGGCTTTCTTTCACATCGATGAGATTCCCCAACAAACTAACAACTACTAACACAAGACTTCCACATGTACATACTTCCCTTGCTAGCTATTGGTAGCGATGCCCTTTGTTACTACTCGCGGCTAGCACGTCCCACCGCACCCGCCGTACCAATCTTCCGGAACACAGGCGCGCGGCGTGCCCAGCGCGGGGGGAACGGCCTGCTCCATCTCCGCCAAGGCGCGTGCCTTGATGGCTCTCGAAGCTTCGGCCTCCGGTCCATACAACGGGTCAGCCGCTTCGGAGTCGGTTCTGAAAGGCACGGAGGTCGGGTTCTGGTCGGCACCAAAGAGAGATTGGTATGCCGGTCTGGTTAGTTGCCACAAAGTGAAATCAACTGAACAAACACAGCTAAACATAACTGAACTATATATACTGAACCTAACTCCATTTAACTCCTAGAGTAGCCTAGAGTGGTCCAGAGTGGCCTAGTAGACCTGAAAGATCTGGAATTCGAACTCGTGCTGATGTTTGTTCTGGGCGAGAATTCATGAGGCACCCCAAAACCACTTCCTCAAACACTGAGGACCACCCTCCCCGCTCTGCCAAATGCTCTCAGAAACCACCCCCCACCAAAGCACCTTCCTTCTTCGCAGCTCGTCCACCACCTCCTGTGTTTCAATGGCACTGCCTTTTTGAAGCTGCAGCTCCACCTTTGGCATCGAGCGGTGACTTACAATTCAGCCAGTTGCTCGGGTTGCTCATGGGTTGTAGAATGTGCACATAACTTCGAAAGGAAACCGGAGAACTTTCTCTGGGTGGCAAGACACCAGGGACAGTAGTAATGCAACTACATCCATCTTGTTTGGGCACAAGTCAGTTTCTGGTCGAACCAAGTCCATGTCCTCATATTTTTTTTCCAGAGGCTTTTCGTTTTGAAAGCATCCAAATCTGTTCACTCTGCCCGCCAGACCCTAACCATTTTTGTTTTTTCATGTTGATGTGTCGAACATGTCTGGGGATCCCTTGGTTGTGCAGATTGCGTTCTGACAAAGATTTGTGGTCTCCTCATTTGAGTTATATAAACCCATTCTGTTTTCTCCCTGGAAGCATGTACTATTCAGCATTCAGCACCTCCAGTTCTCTCCTCTGCTCTTGCATTGCCAGGTGCTGCGCGCGCATTTCCTTGGCCTCGCTAAGTTGGAGCTGTCGGGATGAAGAACTGGTCTGGAACTTTGAATTGAAGGGCCTGAAGTGAAGCGTTCTTTTCCTTTCTTTTGGTCACTATTGGTCAGAAAACAGGCTTTTGATACCTTCATCAACCAAGGAGTAATGTCGATGCACCATGATACACGCAGCAAGGTCGTTGCTGCATCCGCCCGCCATGCACGTTATCCCTGATCCCTACCGATCCGCAACACATGGAGGATTCAGAATGCTCGTTTGAGCCGGGTCGTTCTCCTCTCCCTGAAATAAACAAGAAACATGATCAGGTACAACCACTGCGGCATACTGCGGCCACTTTCGAGTGGAACAACATTGAACAACATGCAGGTTCATATGGTAATGTCATGTGATGTCTTTGTCGCAGTCTCTTCTTTCGATTGAATGCGGCCACATATAGGGAACAAAGTGACCCGAACCAAGTGGAACTTGAAGTTTGAAGGAGCTGCACAATCAACCTGGCGTTTTCTTATTTTTAATGGAACAAACAACCAGTTGATCGAGCTCACATGGAACGTTTCTCTGGGATTTCCAATATGTGCTCGTCTTCACCGTTGGGCAGTCCCGCGTGGTGTTCACCCAATTGCCGTGCGAAAGTGTGCTGATCAGAATGGCAGCCTCAAAGGCTGTCACCTACCACAACTCCCCCCAAAAGGCACTGTGGGCATCAACGCAAAAGATTTCGGTTTGTTGGAGCCACATGGAACCACTCCTTTCGTCCCGGTCAGTCTTGGCCACAGAAAAAACACCACCCAATGCCCGACCCCGAACTATAGCTTTGTCAGTCGAGGAAAGGTCAAACAATTCTACTGGGGTCAAATACAGTTTATATAACTTTCAAATCCGAGTCTTCAAAGACCTGGATTTCACCATTATCCACCTGTTTGTACCTGAAGATACCAGAAGCCATCTTCATGTTTTATCTGCGCCATTGCCGTCTCGGACCCTCAGCCCCTCTCCTTTTTCCAACTGGATGCCTGCTAGCTGAATCAGGTGGGTAGGTAACTTGTCTCAACGGTCACGATTGTCGAGTTCGCAGGATCTGTCCGGCCAGGCACTTGTTTCCAACAGCTTCTTGTTACTACTAGTAAGGCACTTGTTACTAGTAGCGATGCACTTGTTACTAGTAGCTTCTTTTTACTACTAGTAAGACTAGTAAGGCACTTGTTACTAGTAGCGTGGCACTTGTTACTAGTTCGGTAAGTAACTGGTCCGAAAACAGTACAGTAGTACTTCACGTCCTGCCATCTGGGACCGCCGTCATGCCATCTGGGACTTGTTTGTGTTTCTGCGGTTGATGAAGGTTGATTCCAATCCAAAAATATAGACTGTAGTCACTGTAGTCCTCGAAGCTGGAAAGCACTGATGTTCTTCATCACGGACTGGGTCATGCGGTGGCTCCCAAACACGCCTCCGCAACGCGGAAAAAGAATCAGGGCCTCCGAAGCATCTGCGGCGTAGATCGCCTGGCAGTGTCGACGAGATCACCCAGGCAATTGCCTTGGACGGACTCTCATTGATTCTACTTGGGGTTGGGAGGTCCAACGCATTTTTTCGCAAACAAAAAGACATCTTAGATAGTCTCACCGTCCGTGTTCCTCATAATTGGTCCAGTCCGTCACATCGTCATATAGCTACAAGTGGATATGCCCAGTTGCTACGGGGAGCCCATCCACTCACTGGTGCAACGTCTTTGCTACTCACGTCTGTGCCCGGTGACTGTACCTGACTTGTCCAGAAACCTCCAAACAACGCGAACCGGAAGAAACACCATTTCATCTGAACACCGACCAGCTCGAGAGCAAGGCTTGAAAAGCAGCCAGGCGTTCAGCGGGACTCTAAGGGTTCATTAGAGCTGGAGCTTGAGTCAATGAATTACTTCGAAGAACTCGTGGCAAACCTTGCATTGCTCTTTCACCCCAGAAACTCACAGCCTTGTACGCCTTCATTTTTGCCTGAAGAGGAGGCTCCGCGACAGGTCGACAAGGTGCTGCTCGCCTGCCTCACTTTTTTCTGCCAAATCTCCTGAACATATACTGCCTGCATCATGGGTGAGCGGCTCTGCTGGAGCAATGCTCAGTCAGATCTTCAGGAATGGTGTGAACACCTGCCGTGCTGGAGACGTTTATGCTCCTTCTTCCATGGGTGTTCAATTATTTGAGACACTGCGCGTGCAGTGTGTGATTTAGGACCTCCACAAAAAATGCACCACCATGCCACTCGTTGAAATCCAACCACTCTTGAATTTACATGAATCGAGTGATTTCATGTGTGATAACTGCTAGCTAAATGTTCAAAAAACACCGGAACACTTGTCATGCCGTCCACCTCCAGCCGAGTTTCGGAGAAATAGTACATGGATTCTAAACAAAACATAAATAAACCATAATAAACCATATATATAATTATATATATATATTATATAACACTTGTTGGAGCCCTATTAAAACCTCCATGTAGGATCTCAGAAGAAAATGATCCTACTCCTACTGTATGAGGTCTTGTCGCTTTGTTTTGCTCAGCAGTTGCCGCCGTCCCGCGGCAAGGAGAAATGCTGGGGCCAATTCTCTGAACATGACCCGCTGGCAGAAAATGAATCTCCATGTTATTGGATTGGGTTTTCCCAAGGAACCACAAAGAATTAATGATTCACAAACAGGATGTCTGCCTGAGAACCAATGCCATTCTGTTTCATAGACTCGACCCAAGCCAACGATTTTTGCTCAAGCTGATTCACAGGCTCCACCTGCTAATTATCAGCCTCTTCCTGGCACTTGAGAGGGCATCTGACAATCCGATTAGCGCCAAAACCACAAAACTGGCCAATCATGGTCAATCCCATCAGACTAATTGCCCCTGAGCTCAGGCTCAAGAAACTTCAACGTGGACGTGAGGGATGGTCAAAATTGATTGTACTCTTCCCCAAAAGGACATGAGATGGATCGTGGCCACTACGGTGCGAGTACCGGGGACGATGGTGCCGCATGGCGGATGCTCATTTAACCCGATGGCGATGTTCCTCATTTAACATGGCCGTCCCTCGTGTCTCTGAAGACTCGCATCACTGCACCTTCATCACAATCGACTTGCCTCTGAAAATTGAACAGGTGATTAATGGTGAGTAGGTCTGTGGGGGCTGCGATGAGCTGTGACAGGTTAGTGTTCATCGACCGAAGGGCTGACCGCCTGTTTATAGTAATAAGCCTGTCAAGTATAGATATTTCATGATATTTCCAGATTTCGAGTGGGAATTCGAAGTCGGACACTTACCAAAAGGTTGGAGCTACAATATTCAAGCATCTCTTCCTGGTTAGAAGTCTAATGCAATGGTTTGGGATTCTGCAACAACTCCGCAGAACCTGGCACAGCGTTCAGAGTAGACTGCGGAATGACTTCAGGTGCAGGAGCTCGCCAAGTTTACCATGCATTCAAATTCGTTGAGATGGTCTGAGTCTGTTCATGGCATATTCGGAACGCGAAAAACAACATCCAGAACCAGAACAGCCATGACCTTTCTCGGCCAACGAACTGGCACAGTCCCTCATGTCAAACACATGAAGGTGATTGAATCACAGTGGTTGAGCTTGCTCACCCTGACAGCCAACAGCTCCCACATGCTTCAACCCTCAGTGTTCACAGGCTCTTCAGCGCTTTTTCATCCTTTCGGTTTCATCCTCTGCTGTGCTCGCGTTCGACATCGCTCCAGTGGTCGCTCGCTCGCTCGCTCTCCACGTCCGAAGGTCGCGGCGATCAACGCCGAAAACTCCTGGCCGTGGATAGAGTGCCCAGCGCATCGGTGAGGCCCCTGATTTTCAGGGTCCGAAGATCGACTCATGGACACAGTTGGAGCTTGAGTTGTTTTTGTTGGGACTCCGAAATAGAGATTGCGGCAGTGGCCCGCGGCCCAAAGGAGGGCCGAAATGATTTGGATTGGTGCCTTTTGTCCTTAGCTGCCTTAGCTTCCCATCTTGGTCTTTCCAACATCCGCAAGCCACCACATCATATCGGGCTAAAAGAGTCTGTCGTCTGAAAGGGAGGGAACCTTGCTTTCAAGAGGGGTCCCAGTCTGGAACTTTCTTCCTGACCAACTTGGAGGATTTGAGCTACCAAAAGGCACTCTTGCTCGCTGTTGTGTTCATGGGAAAAAGGCAATCGAGGTTCCACTTGGCACGAGATCCAGTAAGATCAGATCCGAATCATCATCCCCCCAAAAAGAAAGAGATGAAACATGTCCCGCATGCAGAGACGATCATTATGTTGTCATCTATCTTCCAACGATGGTGTCTTGATGGGTGTCTTGTTTCGCGTATGTCGCGTTCTTTTCTGCGTGCGATGCATGCTTAAGCATGCTTATAAGCATGCCAGGCAGCCAACCCAATGTTCGACATTTGGACGCAGCCTTCTTCAACGGTCTCGCACTACGACTCAATGAGGCTTTTCGTGTCGACCCCCGTCTGCCTGCGGGGGGATCGACCCATTGGAGACCTCTCCTGGTACATTTGCTGGTTTGGTTGTCCCTTTTCTTCGTTTCCCGGACGACCTCACCCAAACGCCGACCTGGGTTGAACCCTCAAAAAAAGGTGCTCCCTCCTCCCAAACAAAAGGAGGGGTCCAAAAACTCGTGGCGTTCCGTTTCATGGTGACATGATGAAACAGGAAGTCCTCGTGCTCCAAGGCATTGGTGCGAGCTGGAAACTCGTGGCCATAAGCTCTCTGCCATGACCGGATCGCCTAAGTGGTGGGGTTTTGAGGACCCGGCCACAGCAACGAACAAAGAAAGAAAGAGACAGGGAGAGACCAAAGCGTATTCGTTTCTTCACAGTATACTCTAAAAGTGTATACATGTCATTTTTGCTGACGGATTCTTTGTCAGAATGAGACAGAACCCTTCAATTTTATGGATGATGATTCGATCCAAAGTTCCCTGCCAACGAACAGTACCCCAGAAAAAGCTGCAAGTTCCAAATGATGTACACAACCAAACTTAGTTCGTGACTTACAAAAAAACAAAACAAATAAGTTCAAAGAAGCTGAGACCTTCAAACATATTAGTGGTGACTTGTGACCTCCGAAGCAGAACAAATACAAATACGAAGATGTCCACTCGAAGCAGGACTGAGGGGCCATCATGGGCCCATAGGTACAGACGCCTCACCGGGCCCCATTAGTCGCCATGCTCCACCCAAAAAAAACATTGTTAGGTGCTCTATGCTTTTACTTGACCACTTCGTTTCGCCCTTTCTCCGGAGGCACTTCGTTCATGGAATCCTCCAGCAGCACGTGCGATCTTGCAGTGGCAGGGGAAGATGCGCCACTGGCAGCGCTTGACCTGAAAGAACTTGGTGTTTCCGGGGACGTTTGGATCCTTCGGCTAGCTTGGTCACCCCATGTCACCCCTTTCACGCGGAAAAAACCGGGAGCACCACGGGTGTTCCAACGTCCGGACGTGTGGACGCCGCTGTGTCCCGCGGTGTCCGGTCGCGGTGTTCCTTCGCCCGGGTCGATGTGGTGAGGCGAAACGGTCCGCTGGGCGCCTTAAGATCTGCACCGTCGATGTCGCAATCAGTGCGACGGTACATTCCGGAGCATTAGTCGATGTGGAAAAATAGACCAACATGAGAAAGCTGAGAGGATTCGTGCCGGGGCCGCAAGGTCATGAGTGACCTTGGGCAGGGAAGCACACTTTTTCACTGCTAAAACAGATCAAGAGAAATAACATGAAATAACTTCGGCCATGACTCAAACCTTGGCCACTCTCTGTGTTGAGGAACATTGAAATGCTATAAGCTGTCTCTATATCATGGTGCCAAAGCCCCACTCGCCAAAGAGCCAGTTCCAATTCTGATCAAGGCACGAATCGCTGATCCGAAAGTGTGCCAGTTCTGATAGGCTGATAGGACCCCTGGGTGCAGAAAAGGCTTACAATGTTTTTCTGTTTTTTTTTGTTTTTTGAGCGCGTCCCCCACTGCTTTCCCCATGACTCAGTTCCTCAAGCCTCTAAAAACACTGCGCAAATTCCACCCCGAACGGTCCACAACAAAAACACCTTGTTTTTTGTCACGTGGTCATTGAGGAGATGGAAATGGAGGAAGGTGCGGAAGTCGGCGTGGTTCATACTGTAACATATATTTAAAAGGCCTCAAAGAGGAGACGTTGAATATCATGCAACCTGACAATCCTTTGCCTCAGACTCTTACAATTCCATCGTGTGCTTCTTTAACACACAGCCTTAACACGTTCGGGAGTGCCTTAAACCTGTACATGTGGCATAATACGGTAACTAGAAAGGACCAGGGACACCCAACATGAGGGTCCTTCCCGGTTTGATCAAAAAACCCCTCCAGACCTCATGTCAAACAGCCTCTCAAACAGCCTCTCGTCGCCCGTTTGGTTCAACAGGTGAGGTCCCATGGCTCAAGGGACAAGAACCTTTAGATTTTACCATCACTACTAGCTTCTTGCTACTATTAGCGATGCCAATTGTTACTAATAGGGAAGGTCCCATGGCTCTGTTCCGCCTCCCAATGGCGCCTCTTCGGCTCTGTCTCTCCGCTCATCATGGTGCCGTTGCGAGAGGGCGGGCGCGCGGGGCGAGTGGAGGTCGAGTCTGCAGCGAAGCTTTGAGCCCAAACAAAGCTTCAGCACAGGCAAATCCGCCCGCACCGAAGGTGCCGAGGCGTTTTATGAGGCTCGCGTTATACCGCAAGTACCGCAAGTAGTACAAATAGCTTTAGCTAGGGGGGGGGGGCCATTTTCGCTCTAGAATCCTGTGTTTTTGGACTTTTTTGAACCGGCTTAAAGTGCTGGAAGATAAATTCGTGCTAACTTGAAGCGTCTTGTGATGCAAGAAATGCAAGTTTCTGCTTGGCATCATCTGCATCATCTGAGCGGTACATTGAGCGGTACATAGCTCTAGAAGTCACTATCTAACGGACGTGTCTGCGAGATAGGTACTTGAACGTCGTAAACATGGCCGAACGGGACTGGAATACATAGCTTTAGAAGTGATATTTGGCTACAGAAGCAGAGATAGGCAGAGATCACGTCCAGGAACGGTAACATTTTCGTACGAGCAGAGCGTGCATATGATCGAACATAGCCCCAGAAGTCACTATCTCAAGCACGCTTCTTCGAGATAGGGACTTCAACGTCGTAAACATGGCCCAACGAGGGCTGAAAAAGGGACTGGAAAAGCCTGCAAAGTCACGATCAAAGTCACTATCCTCGAGATAGGGACTTGAACGTCCGGGTACATGGCTGGTCAGGAGCAGAGCTAAGGAAAGATAAGGTGGTCAGGAGCGGAGATAAGGAAAGATAAGGTCCAGGAATGGTAACATTATCTCACGAGCATAGCTCCCATATGGTCGAACATAAGCCGAGAAGTCACTATCTCAAGTATGCTTCCCCGAGATAGGTACTTGAACGTCGTAAACATGGCCCAACGAAGGCTCAAAAGAGAATGGAAGGAGTGAAGATATTGCCTAACATAGCCTCAGAAGTCACTATCTCAAGCACGCTTCTTCGAGATAGGGACTTCAACGTCGTAAACAGGGCCCAACGAGAGCTCAAAAGGGACCGGAAAAGCCTGCAAAGGCACTATCAAAGTCACTATCTTAAGCATGTCTCCTCGAGATAGGGACTTGAACGTCCGGGTACATGGCTGGTCAGGAGCAGAGATAAGGAAAGATAAGGTGGTCAGGAGCAGAGATAAGGAAAGATAAGGAAAGATAAGGACCAGGAGCGTGTCTGCGAGATAGGGATTTGAACGTCGTAAACTGGAATATAAAACTCCCCCTAACGTGGCCAAACATAGCTTCCATATTGAAAACGGGTTGGCATAAAGTAAACATACGTCCTATGAGATAGCTTCAGGTAGGTGCAACATGGGACCACACCTGTCATATAGCTGCGCGTTTTGTCGGGTCGCACAATCGAGCTCAGCCAGGGGAGCTGAACGCTTCGCGCACGCAAAACATGACCTTTTGCGCCGAATCGAAACGCGCGCACCGACTCCCAATTTCGTTCTATCTACAGGGTGAAACATGGCATCCCTTCGGTCATGAGCCTTTTTTTCAGCATAGCTCGAATCACCTGCATCACGTTGCATCACGTTCCATGATGCTTTAACCTTGTAGACTCGTGCAAATCTTGATGGGGAAAAGAACCAGCGCCAATGATAACATGGGCAGGCAATTTCAGGTGTCGATCGGTGAATGCCACGACCTGCCACGCCTTGCCTTTGTCGCCGACCTCCGTGCTGGAAGTATCTGCAGCAGGCACTTCAGGAAGAGACGCCTGCAGTGTAGAACCCTTCTGGAAAGTACTGCAATAAATACTGAACAAATTTCATTTAGCCGGACCTTTAGTGATGGTACATCACCAGGATCAACCATCCCATGCTGTTTGCATTGCATGTATTCCAACATGTGATCATCTGCCATGTTCGGTTCATACTGCAAAAACCTCCCGCCTACAGATGCTTGATGAGACCCATACCAAAATGGCTGCGGTCTTTGAGCCCAAGCTTGTTTGACAAGGAAAACGAACCCTGCCAGGATCAACCATCCCATCGTGATACTTCCGGCAGTGGTGGCGGCCCTTCAGCAGCCACCATTACTTGAAAAGGCCCTTGGACTATCGAACACAGATTACCGGATCTGCAGCATCATCCCTTCCCCTGATGAAACCCATTCCAACATGCCTGCAGTCTTGTGTCCGAGCTTGCTTGCAGAAGCCCTGTGACTACGTACAACGAACTCTACAACCTGCACATCAACCTTACACTATCCAATGAAGGCGTTCCATTGCATGTGTCCGAACAATGTTCCTTTCATACTGTACCCCTTGGCTCCAAGAGCACAAGAACCCATTCCAGATCGTCTCCCTTCCGGAAGCTTACCCGACACGCAAATTCCAATCCATTTTGAGTCCCCATTCGGCCATGTTTACGACGTTCAAATCCCTAACATGCTTGAGATAGTGTCTTCTGAAGCTGAGACCTTGTCTCTGCTTGTCTCTACGCCTGTTGAGCCTTATATTTGCGACGTTCCTGGCAATATGGAAGCTATGTCCAGCCACGTTGGGGGGGGGGGCCGTTCTGGGGCTATGTTCGACAGTGTGGAAACTATATCGGGCCACGTTAGGAAAACCGTTACCGTTAATTGACCTTATCTCTGCTTATCTCTGCTCCTATTCAGCCGAATTGCTTCCTTTCATACTGACTTTCTTGGCTCCAAGAGCACAAGACCCCGTTCCAGATCGTGTTCCTTACTGCAGCTCTCTCGGTAGCAGTCTTTTAACCCCCCAACTACATTGGGCCATGTTAAATCCCTATCTCGAAACATGACCGGGAGGGGATCACTTCCGGGGCTATCTTCCGTGGAAATATTGTCCCCTTCCATGCGGTGCGGGCGGTTACCGTCGCGAAGCGACGTGAATAAGTTCTTGTTTCTAATAGCTTCTTGTTACTACTAGTAAGGCACTTGTTACTAGAAGCGATGCACTTGTTCCTAGTACAGTAGCTTCTTGTTTCTGCAAATGAAGGAGAGGCTTTCTCTGAGAAAATCGGCTTGCAAGAAATCATAGAAGCTTTTGATTTTTGTTTGCCAATGTAGAACATGAGTGGAATACTGTTTGTGGCTTTCCAAAGTGCTTGTGGCCTACACTGCGACCCTGGATTAAAGACTGGCTGTTTGATGAAGAGGTGTAATTATCTTGATTATAAAACATCTCAAGCCAGCATGAAACTGCAGTCGCGGCCTTTCACCAATAGAATACGAAGAGTGAAGGGAAGCCTTCAAGAGATAGAGATAGAGCCGCGCGTAACTTCTCCTATCGACCCCCACCACCCAGGCCCATTCAGCTGTGCAGCCTGCATCTCTTCGCTGTGAAGGGAGAGCACCATAACTTCTTGTGAGGAAACTTCCTCCACACGTTTCGCAGCAGAAATACGTGGTGAAATCAAATTTCATACGTATTTCTGAAGCGAGTTATGTGACAGCAATTGAAACACACTTCTGAAACTAAATCCAGGCTGGAGTGATGAGTGCCGCATTTGAGAAGACCGTCACTCGCCGTTTCGCACGTGTCACCACGGTCCCAGCGTTTCGTCCCCTGCCTCTGTCCCTCTTCCGTACGTCGAAACGCGCCCGCGACGACTGCACGTCTTCGCAGCCGCGCGGCTGCGCGGCTGCGAAGTACTCATCAAACCGCCCCCAACAAGCACCTGCTGCTTCTGCATCTTCTCCCAGGCAGACTGCAGTGCTTCCAGTTCCAGTTGCTCCCGCCGCAACCTTCGGGCGGACTGGACTTCGGCCACCGGGTGCGAAGCGATCCGGCTTGACCAAGTCACCCTTGAGGTCAGCTTCCAGGTCTGAAGTGGGGTCCACTCCTCAAGGACATAGATGGGGAAACCACTAGGTTGCAGCCAAAATGGTTAGTGTTAAGACCTGACCCATCAAATTGCTGGCTTTGTGACGATTGTAGCATCCAGCAGTTTCTCTCCAATTAGACTTTTGATGCAACGCTTTCCAACACAAATCATGCAAATAAAACATAAACAGATTTCTATAGTGGACACTGCTGCATCTGGGATTTTCGTCCATCCCATGGCTTTAGGTCAGGTGTTCTCTTTTTGTGCTTGTGCAGCCACAATCAGGTCCCCCTGTGCCACGACCTTCCCAAAGCACGACCCAAGGACCAGTGTCGCAAGTCGACGGAGATTGGTGCGCGACCGGCGCATGGGCTCTTCTTTTGGCCGACCATCGAGCCTCGACCCTTCATCGCCCCTCCAAACGAGGTGGCACTTAAAACCGGTGCAAGATCGGTTGGCATGTTGGGCTGAAGGAAAAAGCGCTTCAGACTCAAGCATGACATGTTGATTTGTCCTGTTCCATTTTCCTGCCCCAACCCAATCTCGGATGACGACTTTTGAAGAATTAGTACCAGAGCTGTGGAGAGCGAAGCTGATCCTTCTTGCAAACGCTGAAGGTTACGTGACCGTTATCCCAGTTGGATTGCCAAGACTGGGAAACCGTCCGTGCACGGCGGACGAAGCAAAACAAGCAGTCGGCATCACCAACCGGTCTCTCTGTCTCTACAATTGGTCACAGTAAGACCAACCGCTACTGGCTTAAAAGATGGTGAATCGATTGATCTAAAGTATAGCGGCAAGTGAACTTGCTCCAAAGACACCAACCTGATAGGGAAGTTGAAGCATCACAACAAGTCAACAGGTGGTGTACCCACCCTACTTTAGATCGAATCGGACATCAAAAGCACGCATCTTCACCAGGCGCACAAAATCCTGAAGCCGTTCATCTCAAGGACTCCTGGCGTGGAAATCCGTCCGTCCATGTCAATGTGTTTCCATACATTCAGGGTTCAGGGATGTTTAGGGCAATCGCGAGCATTCCCATTCTCTTACTTCTAAATCATCACAATGAAAACACCGGACTGGCGAAAATACTACCTGGACCATCCAAGGAGGGGTCTCCAATCGACCACCCTATTTTTACACCACTTGTGGGCTTCCATTTGACACCCATGCGATGGTCCTGGTATAGTCAGATTTTGAGATCGCTATAGAAAGAACGAACGTTGTCTCAAAGCAGGCACTGGCAGGCGCCTTGTCTCAAAGCTTTCCCGCAGGCCATCTGGCTGTCCAGGCAGACAAAATGCCTCGAAGCACATGACTTTCTGTGCATATACATGTTCCCCTATCTACCTTCAAGGAGCAGGTACCAGTACAAGGCAGGTACCAAGCATGTAAAATAACATGCAATGAGGGCCAATCTGTGTTAGTCAACCACCTAGAGAACAGGGTGCAAAGTCGGTTTGGCGAAGGGAAGAGCTCCACGTTCAGAGCCATGGACATTGTGTGACCTTTTAATAGAACACAAATCAGAAAGGACCTCCTGGGGAAAGCTTCCAGCTATGAGATGCCTCCGCATTCGGATGGATTGGTGGAATCCATGAGAACATCGAAATCAACGTGAACACATCGTGCACTGCATGCTTCAAGGCTCAGACTCAGCCCTAGAAAATGCTTCCAAGCACCTGAACACGCCTGATGTAACATGTTGCCCAAGAATGCCCGATTCAAAAGGAAGATTCTCTTCCAAGCCTACCCTTTAAAAGGGTGACCTGGGCATTGACTGATTCGTTGAAGGCAAAACACCACAAGTAAACATGGACCGTTGATTCATCTAGGGGCGTTTCCTTAATTTCCTAGTGGTGACATCATTTTCCATTTCATCTTCTTTCGGGAGATTGATGGGAGTGTTGAAGTCCGATGTTGCTGCTACTGAGGTCTAAGCGAGCATTGAAGTCCTTTGAGTTCATCTTCCACTTCTTTGCGACGGCTTCCTGCAGGTCATCTTCCACAGGTGACCCCAGGGAAAACAATAGACTGAGAAGGCATCAAACTATATGTACCAGGAGTCACAAAGGGGTGCCTATTGGAGGTTAGGGGTGCCCATTATCCACTCACTTAGGAACCAACCACCACCCCTTTGTGACCCCTGGTATAACTATATGACTATATTATCACTGACTGGAGTGGCGCCGCTGTGCTCGGCAGTGCAAATCAGCTTACATCGGTTGGTCCATCTGCAGGCAGAGTTTTCTTGGGCAAGATCATCAATCTATATGTGATGGCTCGCAACCCTCAAACATGTCTTACAAAAAGTTATCCATGTATAATGTCACCTAGGGCCATATGATATGTACATATCAATAGACGGGACACAGGGCCGGGATGTGCCAGGTGTTTGATCGCAAAAAAACAAACACAATGCAAGGTTTCATGCACAGTGTTGGTGGGCACCAGCTCACTTCAGCAAGCTCAATGACAGCTGTCAGCCTTTTTTGCCGTCAGCGCGGTCAGCGCTGTTGGTGAACAAGAAAAGGGCCCGCTTGGATGTCAACGACAGCATGTTCACCACTTCGTCAGAACGACCAATTCCTCTGGTCCACTACGACAAAGGAACAACGGTCCACTGTAGGTGGCGAGACGTCGAAGAATGGACCTAGACTCCATCAGCCGAGCCACATGGACATGTTTATCACCGCTGCAAAGTACAGTCTGTTGATCCACTATCAGCTGTAGCCGCTTTCTGTGTTGGCATCGGCTTCAATCAACAAACTCTTGGGCTTCTTCATCTCTCTCTCCCTCTATGCAACAAAAATCCATTATTATTACTGTATAGTTTCCTCTGTCCTGTCGAAGCCGTGCCACCATTCGCATTCGTTTCCCCAACCGGTTTAACCGGACTGTTGCATGGTGATGCCGTTTTTCATGCCTGGCCGCCTGCGTCGGGTAGATTTTTTCCATCGTCATGCTTTTCGTGTCGAAACCCTTTGAGACCGCTACAGACTCCGTGAGCCAGTCATCATGCAATTGGCTCTTTGGCAGAAAAACTTGGAAGATCCTGGCTGGTGTTCCCTGGGGAAGGTGTCAAAGCAAAGGTTGGAAGTGTCAATGACTGTTTCAGCCAAATGACGTCTTTTTGGATTGGTATATATAATAGAGGCGGCGATTCGGGACTATACCTGTATTGGTTGTTCACTTGGGGGTACCCCCTTCTATTCATCAACCAATCAGTAAACGGCCATCGAATCTAGTCTATGGTTCTGGCATGTTCGGGCCAAGACTCCTTGTTGATGGAAGATTCTGAAGAGAATTCATGAGACTTCTGGGACTGGCCCAGTTCCTCTGATCCCAGCCTGCATTTGATCCTTCAGCCCCCTTTAACCAACCCCATGGACCACCCATTTTTCAACGGGACTCCACGCCCTTCGCGACTTCAGCTTCTGCACGGGACCCCGTTCGCGGTCCTTCAAGAGCTCGGAGGGTGTCAATCCCATCTGCTCTACCTGTACCAGTCTGTTCTTGGGTTGACTGTCTCCCTTTCCGTATGATGTCTCGGGTTGACTGTCTCCCGTGTGTCGACGTTCCGATGTTTGGACGTTGTCCGAAGGTGCGCGTGTCATTCGACGTCCGCATGTGGTGTCATTCTTGGGCAGGTGCCCAGTAGATGGGATGGTCCAGCTTGGGTATCAAAGGATAGGATAAGAGAAGTCAATCACGAAGTCAATCACTTCACATTTGTTTTGAGGTTTGGAGAGCATACCCTTTTGAGGTGGAACCTCCAGGGCTCATGATCAAGGATCTTCTATGCCCGAATCTTGAGACCACCACCACGTCGCCTTCTGCAGAACTGTTGGAAGACCGACGGTGAACCTGGAAGGCCATGTTTCAAACGCACTGAAACATGAGAATGTCAGAGTCATCAGCTCGTGGGCATCCCGTCAGTAGTCATCAAAAAAGTACAAGTTGTATCAAGTTGTGCGAGTGAGACACTTCTCCAGGATCTTTCTGAACATGGCTCGCTGCTCCAAAATTGAACCAATAAATGGGCAGAAGATGCAGAAGGAGGCCATAAGGCCTCAAAACCAAGTTACTGCAACCTTCGACCTCAAGGTTAGGGCCTCATCAACCCTATAAACCCGACGGGTTTATTCCGCTGATTCGGAGACACCACGGAGACACCGAGCATCCCGGACGCCCACTTCATCGGACCACCACGATAGCGTGGCCAGTTATAGCCTCACTGGCGATGTCACCGAGATGTCACGCTGTGTCATATGCTTAACATCGCCTTGTTTTGATGTCTCAAGGTGCTAGTTTTTTGTTTGTTTTTCTGTTTGTTGTTCGCCGCTTTTTGATGATCCGTTCGTCTTTGAGGCGGCAAAGAGATGTGTTATTTCCAGAGAGTATTTCGAGCACAGCAAGATCGGAAGCCCCATAGGATGATGCCAAAGCTTCGATCTTGTGACCGGAACAAGAATCACGACAAGCTGTCGATAGGTGTCACAAGAACACGAGATTAAACAAAAACCCACATTGCATTGCTGGGTTGTTTTCATGAAGGTGGGCCATGAAGGTGTCGCATGAAAACAACCCACATGAAAATGAAACCTTCACATTTCTCTGAATGCGGCAAGCACTTTCTGGAAACCTGCACACCTGGCATCACCTAGCCCTAGTCCAACGGGGAGCTCCTCTCTTGTCTTCCTGGACGGTGTGACATGCGCACCACTGCAGTGCTTGTGCTTTGAGTTGTACCCGCGTTTAAACGAACGCCTCCGCCAAACACTGAACTGCTGACCGAGATGCCAAAGACGCAACATACATCAATGTCGCTGGCTCTGATGGCCATGCCTTCTTCAAGGCATTTGAAGCCTCCCGGTGAATTGGTGAATTGCTGAGGCAAGTGGAGGAAGCGTGCTG